CTAGTGGTGGCTCTTTAGAACTGCATAAATATTGTCATAAAGCCTGTTACAGTTCAAATTATCCACTTAGTCATGTGCAGATTCTAGATATGGCTCATACAGGTTTCAAAATTGGCCCTCGTCCGACGTGACACTTGACTCCATATAGTACTTAGTTTCTTGCACTTCTTTGCGCAATCTGAACCATAACCTGTTGGTTTAGACTTACCCCACACAGATTCGCTCTAATACCACTTGTAACGTCCCTGTGCCAGTCGGGCTGACCCAATATCTTGAGCTAAAACCACGGGATCAAAATGATTAATCCAAAGTTATTGGTAATTTGATGGATTGGACGTTATATACGATTCCTTTTCTTTTCCTCCATCCGATGTAGGATATTTCATCTTTGTATCATATTATAATTAGAATGTCAGTTCTAATTCTAATGTGATAAAACAAAGATTATATTATATGTAAAAGATTCTGAATTCAAAATCCCTTACTTAAACCAAAAAAAGGTGAGAAAGTTTTTTTAAAAAAAATGCAAGAGTGCTACCATCCAAACAACTGCACTGCTATCTACCAACTGGACAACTGAAAAAGTCAAGAGAGATTGATGCAAATGAATGTTCATGGGGGTAACCAACGTGATAATTCAGCATCTTTGAAGGTTAATCAACAAAAAGGAATAGTATTGTTATTAATCTATCTGTCAAGTGGTTATTGCATAAATGGTAAAACCAGGCTATTGAGCATAGTTAAATTACAAATCTCTCTTGGTATTCCTCCTGCAAAACTGTAGATTATATCAATTTAATCAATGTATCTCAATCGACCCAAATCAACCATGTTTTCTGGCAGCACAGCCAGCGTTTCAGTTAATTTGTTTCTCATGTCAAAGAGAAACAAGCAAGACATGAGAAACAGGAAACGAGAGGTTTCCTAGGTGTGGAGGAACGCTGCCCGCGAAACCCATGTTCGAAATACTAACCTCGGTAACCCCGCCTTATGGCGAGAGCTGCAAGTGACTCCAATCCAGTAGCTGAAGGAGACTACAGCAGGCCAATTTTCTGCCAAGATTGAAGTTGCAGGATCAGAAGTTATATGTTCTTTCAAGGCAAGAGGGCTAATTGATCCACATAGAAATTATGATAATTGAGAACGACCCCGATAGATCAATTTGCCCTTCTAGCTTTAAGAGAACATATAACTTGCCCGTCGTGAAGTCGGTTCTGGCCATGGCCAAAGAACTATCAGATAAGTATATGGCATGAGATCAATATATAACTAGTAGTACATATTCCTAACTACGCCGAGAATGCTAAAATGGTTTGAGAAATTATATAGTTTCAATTCAGTGTAATAGTAAACTTCTAGTATTCCCCATCATCCTATTGGACATCTTGCTCTTGTGTGGTTGGAGTTCCCCACATTTCCCATTCCCACTTTGATTTTTCATGTTGACGTTTACTTGAGGTGGATGGGTTTTCACAAGACAAGCTTGTCCTTGGTGTAAATGAGTTAGAATATAGTGTAAAAAAAATTATAAATATGGCGTAAATAATTTGAATACAGTATAAACAAATATTAAAATTATCCTTTTATCCTGAAATGGAGTGAACTGCAACTTGAGAAGCCCAAGATCCTGAATTGGAGATGGGGGAGAAAGGGGGCAAAATGAAAAGAGGTAAAGTTTTACTCAGTTTCAATCCTTAAAATGATTCAGTAAAATTATGAAGTCTGAACTCTAATTCGTGTTATCAATTTTTGCAAATATGCTTGACCAAAAAAAATCATATCCAAGACACAATGAATGGTGAAATTTAGCCGTTAATCAATTTGCCTTGCCGTTCTTAGTGTTAGACTCTTCATTTTGCACTAAAACAACCAATTCTCATGCTTGGGTTCGGCTAACATAGTTTGAAACTCAGCTCGTAGAAGCTATTTGATGAATTACTAGGGAACTTCCAATATTGATTTGAATATTTTTTATAACTGATTCAGAGGTAAAAAAAAAAAAATGCATCACAAAATTATGGCCCTTAACGGGGACAAACATGATCAAAATCTTGGTGTGAGATTTGTGGCCACATTATATGTTGATCAAAAGACAAACATGGTACGCTCCTCCACCTACCAATTGAGGCCAAAATTTTTACTTTGTGGATTGTTAATGTGTCTATAGACCGTTGTCATTGCTGAGCAGCTATTTTCATCAAAGACTAATGTCCAATTTATGTAACATCAAATTGAACAATATTCTGATATTCATTTTGTCCATTTGGCCAGCACTTGTAGGCGGAGACCTGAGTCTTCTTCTCACCTTTTTTCCTCCATTAACGAAAGCCACAGGTAGAATAGTCAAGTATCGTGCCTGGAATATCTAACCGTGCCGTGTAGGTTGTGTAACTGATGCTACTAATTTTTTTAAAAATTTATTAGGGACCAATTTTCTATTCAACGGACTGCATTGATCAAATTTTTATAGTTAAGGGACTAAGACTATAGCCATGATAACAGAACAATGACGTTGATTAAGACAAAGGACCAAGATTTTCAATTTTCTAATAGATGTCTTACTATAATGTGGAATTCGGCGATATTTCAATAAGGGTTCATAGTGCCATATTCATCATTACAGAATGCCAGTCAAAACTTTTCGCATCAATATTTCACATTTGTAAATATGGATGCTTGCCCAGCGCTAATTTGACTGGTTTCGTAATCTGGTAGTTATCAGTAGGTTCCGTGATTGATTCTGTGTGTTATGCTGTGTATTCTTGGAGTAAGGCTCTACACAATCTTAAGGGATTAACCTGATCGAAAATCTGAAATACCTCTAAATGAAAAACAAATGTGGATGCTATTTTTTAGGAAGTCATTTCGCACATCTCATTGCTTTAACACCACAGAATATTTATTTTTCGGCACTTAAAAGATTGCCTTCCAATAGTTTCGGAGCAATTCAAGTGACTCATTCATTCTTTAGTTTCCCACAATTTTCGGTTAAATCATAAATGTTATACATTGGTCACATTCTACAAAGATAAAGGAACTAAATTGGGAAGTAATGTAGACAGCCTGTCACCTTCATGAAGATAAGGAACTTAATCAAGAATCTCTCTCCTCCAATAGCGTCCAAGGATATTGGACTTCTCACCATTAAATTTTGGGTCCTAGCATTTCCAAATGGGCTGGATGTTATACAGTCACATCAAGCAAAGTATCCAATTTTAACAATTGAGATTTAACATGTCGCAAAACCAACAAAATTATTTTTGCAACAAGTTTAATTGTTCCACGAGTCTTTAAATGCATATAAAGCCTCAAGAAAAGATTGAATGCTCTAAATTTACTTCTTCTTTTTTTTTACCTTAAAAATGATCAACAGTGATTTTCCACTTATCCCTTGATGACTCTAACCAGTGATCAGTCGGTTGTTTTGTTATATCTTCGGCTAAGAAAATCCATCAATTATGACATAGATTATAAGACACCAACATAATGATAGAATTATTACACAAATAATTGAGCGTAAGACTGAGACCAATTCCACCACAAATGTACTAGGTCAGTTGCGCCAATAAAATCAGGAGAAAATCCCGAAGATAAATTAACATTACCTTTTTTTTTTAGAGAAAAAACAAACATAATTTTTTCTTGTAAAAGTAGAAAACTGGATGTAAACTGGGAAGAAAATTGAAGGAACCCTTATCATTATTCAAAATAGATGGTGGTGATGGTGGTGCTTTCCCTCGGCTTTTTCTTCTTCTTTTTTGGCATTATTTTTCTCATGATGCTCGTGGAATGCCAATCCGCCAGCTCCAACTGCAGCTGCTGCACCAATCTCTTCTTCTAACTTGTGCCTGTGGGCATTCTGCGGATCCTTCTTGGCCTCGTGCTTCTCATGCTGACCATCATTCCATGCAAATTCACACCATAGATCAGCTAACAAAGTTCATAAATTATTTTGGCTCAGACCATATTAATTATGTCTACAAGTTTTAGTATAGTACTTGGGCTTGGTTTTGCTCAGGAATCACTTCTAGTTTTCAATCTTTAGATATCTTAGAAATAGCGGTTGATGTAACACCTTTTAGCCACCTGCAGATCTAGTCCATTCTGAACCCACTACCATATGGGTTTTAAGAAACTGGCTTTTGACATTCTCCAAAATTAAATGCAACTTCTCCTCCTAACAGTAGAGTATACAGATGAACGTCCACTACTGCCTAACCCATCATCAATCTTGATTTTTTAGGGGAGACGTCTAACAATAGTTGTACCAAAATTGATGCATAGATCTTCCTCTTCCGTGAATGAAAAAGCATGTTTTTTTTTTATTTTGATTGATTAATCTATGGGGGACATAAACCAGCTTAAATCAAGAACATTAGAATTTTACCAAAGCGTAGGCACCAGCGGCAGCAGCTGCAAGCTCCTCGAGCTCCTCAAGATGCTTGTGGTGTTTCCTTTCTTCCTCGTTGTGGTGGCCGAAGAGATGGTGGTGCTGAGTCTGATCAGCCATTGTGGTTGTCAGTTTGTAATGGTTAAGGAATGTAATTTTGATATTTTTTTTGTTATTAAGTGTGAGTGCTAGGAATTTCATGACATTGCTATTTATAGGTCCTGATCCTTTCCCAATCAGTTAGGATAAATCCTAATCGTGGGAGACGGAAGGGGCGCAAGAAATGGCCATACCTCAACGTTCGATTAGTGTTCAATGTTGAAGTATACTAGACATTCATTATTCAATCAACATCATAACAAATTTCATTTCGAGTAACGTCACAAATTATTGGGAAAAACAAATTTCTATGCGGATCATCAGATAGAGCCCAAAAGAATACTCATCATCCTTTGAGCATATTCCAAACTGATATCTAATTTTTATACTGCAACCAACATTTCATTAATAACAACAGCACTTCACACAAACTCTAATCAAGTCAGCAGCGCCAACAAAAGCAGGCGCACAACTCAAATGAAAAACAACACTTTTTTTTTTTTTTTTTTGAGTAACAGATTATTAAACATGATTATTGGCAGTACGAGCTCAATACTGGAAGATACACAAGGGAACAATATTAAAAAGACCACCCAAGGATTAATGAAAATCAGAGTGGTTAAACTAAAATAGGTGGTGGTGGTGCTTTCCCTCAGCCTTTTTCTCTTCTTTCTTGGCATCCTTCTTCTCGTGATGCTCATGGAACGCAAATCCACCGGCACCCACTGCAGCTACTGCAGCAATCTCTTCTTCTATCTTGTGCTTGTGGGCATGCTCAGGATCTTTCTTGGACTTGTGCTTCTCATGCTGGATTATGGAAATTTCGACAAAAAAAAAAGCAAACAAGAAATTAGTAAAGCCAAAAACCATGTCCTACTTAAAAGAGTTTAGAAAATTTTTTTTTCATTTTTGGTGTTAGTAATAAGAGTTTATGATACAGTCAATTGACTGCAAAATTTTTAGTCCAATTAGAGCATAAAATTCAACACAACACTATAATTGGACCATACCATACGATTTTATCCCTCCTAGAGATTCTTTAATCTTTTTTTATTTTTCGAAAGAGATTTTTCTGATTTACTGAACAACCCTTTTGATATTGGACGTATATAATCTTTGATTGTCTGATCAAACGAAATGATAACAAAAATGTTTAGTCTTTATGGACTAATACAAAAAAAAACTGAGTTTAATTTGTGGCTTCTTATAGACAAGCATGCCTTCGTGGCTTATCATGAAAACGGAGTTATACAAGCAAGGATCACAAAATCGGAAATATACCAAGGCATAGGCGCCAGCAGCGACAGCACCGAGTTCACCAAGTTGCTCAAGGTGCTTGTGGTGCTTTCTTTCTTTCTCATAATCATGTGCTGGCTCTCCACCGTAGCCTCCAGAGTAGGTGGTGTCGGAGTAGCCAACGGCTTCGGCAGCCGTCTGTTCCTTGTGGTGGTGGAAGGGGTGGTGGTGGTGCTTCTCTTCAGCCATGATAGTCTTAGTGGTGTAAAACTGATAATAGGACAACTTATGAAAAATATCTGATCTGAGTGGTGGTAATTTTCTGTTTGTTGGATTGTGGAGAGGAGGCTATTTATAGCCTACAGGCGATGATTTAGTAGTAATCGGCTAGAAATCTTAGTTATTGGATAGTGTTAGGAGCGTGATTAACGGGCGTTGAAAAAAAAATTGATAGAAAAAGGAGGTTTAAATTCATTTCCACAAATTTTCAATGCATTGAATTAGGTGAATTTGGATTTTAACTCTGTCTTTTTTTTGGGGGGGATATCAGAGCTGTTTATTTTTTTGGCACCATTAAAGAGGATATATATATATATATATATATATGGAAGGGTAATTAGTCGTGTCATCAAACACAATTTTTCTGATTTGACAAGGGATAGTGGGAAATTAAAACTCTATTAAATCATGATTAAGCGGTTGAAACATATCTTAGTGATCAATAATCAACATTTTGAAAGTTAAATGGTCTACCAGTATTTCTTGGTCAAGATAGCCAAAGAGATATTTTCTAAATATTTACCAAAAAAAGAAGTATTCTAGATTGTTTAAGCAATTCTTTTTTTTTTTCCCACCTTACGACTATTAAATAATTTGGTTCTCCAATAACCAACAAGTTTGGTATGGTTGGGTTGAAGTATTAAGCTCAATCACTAATTATAAATTCATAGTTTGAAGTTTCTTCTCCTTTCATCCAATTCATTGACATAGACCCCATCCCCAAACAAACTATACAGGATGCAACTTGGGTTTTTTTTTTCAATTGATCCATTATTGATACAAATGGACGATTAATGTTGATATTACTTTACAGATGTAACTCATAGCCATATGCACCTTCAAGTTTCTCCTCTCTGACCAATTGTGCTCTAACGCCTGTTTGGAAGGGTCAATTCACAGATATGGCCTCCATCACATGGATATGATGTTGTTTGCCACCCCTTTGTTCACAATTTTAAGCAAAGTTGGAAGATGGATGCATGAATGATTCAAGTGCATTGACTATCCATCATCTGACATGACCATTTATTGCTTCATTTTGGCAGATACATTGAGCCTAAGCATTTCTTTAATTTCATTTGCTAAGGTGGTTTAATTTCCAAAACTGTAATTGCATGGTAGAAATGACGCTGTTTGCCTCCCTTTGTGTTTACACTTATAAGCAAGGTTGGGACTTGGGAGATGTATGATTGAATGTTTCAATGCATTGACTCCCTATTTTTAAGTGACAATTATTGCTTCATTTGGCAGATACATTGAGCCTAAGCATTTCTTTAATTTCATTTTCTAAGGTGGTTTCGGTAACTAAATTCATTTAATCTTTTTCCTTGTGGGTTTTTTTTTTTCTGGATCAGATTTCAACTGGCCGGTGAGGAGTTCACACACTTGAATGTTGATATCTGGGGAGGTTTAGATTCAGATTATTTTCCATTTGTATATTTCCTTTTCTTCGCTGTTAAGGAAACGTGGTCGGTGAGACGTGCCAACTAAATTTCCATTTGGGGACCAAATTAATTTACTCGCTCAAGAAGAGTACATTATCGTGATATGGATAGGCAACATCTGTGGGAGAAGAAATTCTGCCCCCAAGAATGGAAAGAAGAAGGTTGATTTGTCCATCCATCTAATATTCACACTTGGAAAATGAAATCACAGATTTCATGACTCTTTGAATAGTTGCATCAAAATGCAGACTTCAAACCACCCACCTATGCCCCCCCCCCCCCCAAAAAATCTTATAATGTGGAGTAAATATCATACTACCAAAGAGAAAAGGAAAAAGAAAATCTTAATGCTTACTTCACCTTCATAAAGTCATTGTAGCTCTCCACAGCAACAAATTGACAAACTCTTTCAAATAGGTACTAAAATCATTAGGGTTCGTTTAGTTGTCAATCAAGACTCTCAATATCCTTTCTATTGTGAGGCTTAGATTTCGAATTCTGAGTCTCCCGGCACGGAGGAGAAAAGGGTATAGTATGAAGGCGAGGAAAGAGTATGAACAAGAATGAGAGTACGTAAAAAAATAAATAAATAAAAGTTTGTCCAAAAAGGCTCTTAGCATTCTTTCAATTATGAGGTTTAGATTTCGAATTCTGAATTTGACAATATAAAGGCTTTTGAAAAGGGTATAATATGAAGGTAAGAAAAAATAAACAAATAAAAGTAATGGAGAACAGATATTAGATTCTTTGAGATTATTTGACCTTTATACTTAGGTGTCAGGTAGGCAGGCTTTCTCAAATCTCCTGAGGCCCAATAAGAGTTCCCACATTAAGTTCACTCCCATTCAATTCAGTAGGCCAACATTAACTCATCAAATGCTTATTCCTAGGACTATGGCCCAAAAAATAACAAATGGAAACAGGACGATAATATTGGGCTCCTGCTTGGCTGCAGCAAGCATAAACTACCACTTAAGGCCTGCCCGATGAGAATTCAAACCTGAAAAGATACACCCCAACTATAGGGTATATACGCTTGATGAATTGAGCTTTTTGATCACCATCTATCTGATGACCTTTTCACATCGCTGTTTGATAATATTTTCAGGCAAATTGGTTGAATTAACCAGCCACTATATATACCTTCAGAGTATAGAAGATTGACAAACTTCACCTGTCAACAGGGAATTTAGGCCATAACAGATGTTTGACAAATATGTTGCATAATGCAGGCAGTGGAGACCAAGCTGAAAGAGATATGCTCTCTCTAGGTTGGTATGCTCCTTTTCTTGAAGTCTGGAAACAGTTCTGCTATCCCGGCAAGTAAGACGAGTTCCGAGATCAAGGGGAGTTTCCACTGTGAGAAGCCATCTAAAATCAATGAGCTCTTTAACTTCTTGCAGATGTCGACTTTCACGACTAAGGAAGCTCCATATTTTTTCTGTTAAGTTGACAATACAATTCATGTGCTGCCTACCTATGTCCCCAAACATTCTACATTGATCTTCAGTATTAATAAAAGAATTGGCTCCACTGCCATCCAGTTGGACAATCTGATAGCACTTATGGCTTAGAATGGATGAATTTTCAGAAACAGATTGCTGTAAATTGGAAAATGTACCCCAGGCTGAGCTTCTAAAGAGATAAACTAGGGACTCCCCAGCATTTTTCCAGAAATTCGCAACACAGGCAATTATTGAAGATTCAGAAAGAAAAAGATGATAAGTAACTATAGCCAACAACAAGGAGTAGGCTGCACTTATTCTGCTCAGAGTGAAAGCTTCCATTTGATGCTGATGATTTTCAGGATTAAGAGCCAAGAGGTCACTAGCACGAACTCTGTATGCTGAAGCAAGCGTGGTGTATGCATGTAGAGATTGATGATGAAACAAGTGTAACCTTATGCATTGAGGTGACTTTTCTGGCTTGGGTTTCAGTGGCTCCTCAAGGTGCCCATGTGTAAGCAAATCCTCAAGCTTCTCACAGCATGACTCGGGATTGTTAGAGGTCAAATACTCATCAATAGCACCATCAATTGAATCCATGAATTTTGCAGTTGCTTTGGATCTGTACGAGTCTTCATTGGAAGTTAAGTTGAGACCATCAACACCAGAAACAAAAATTTCCTACAGAAAAAGGCAAAAGCAAATAAGCAGCTAAAGCCACGTTGTCTGCTCATGAAAATTCACATTCATGACAATTGAACGATAGAAGATTTCAGAATTCCTTTCTTTTGGTCTATACTTTGAGCGGAAACATGCTAATGTCAGATGGTTAAGGCAGCTAGTCAGTTAAAGTACAATGGAATTGTACGTGACCAGTGCTTTTCAAGAGGAACAGTGATAAAACGTACACATACAGCAAGAAATGACTCCAGTGATTTTCACTGCTAGTACTAATTTATGTGGAGGAACAGTTAATAGATACGGTCATAGTTCTTGAGTACTGAGCAGTAAAGAAGAGAAACACACAGGATAAAGGAACTTAAAATTGGACTTGTAGGTTTAACAGAATAGAAAACCAAGGACAAGCAAGTACAGGGGAAGATACCTGCAAAGCACGATCAATATAAGTTGCAGGAGTTGCAGTACATCGCTTACAGCAACAATTGAATCGGTAATTTGTAAACAATTCAGCCTGCCGCATTTCCTGAAGAATATATGTCAGAGCAAACGCTGAGTAACCAAGTACATAACTCAAGCTGGATCAATGCACAAGTCAACCACCCAAGACTGCAAGTTAGTCAAGTGACAATAAACATTGTATAACTAATAGATGTAATATTTTCAGGACACCACCTTGTTCAAGTATGAATAAACTTGACTGAATTGCAACAAAGTACTGACATGTATCAAAGATGAGGATTGAATATCCTTCCATGTGAAACATAAATTATAAAGATAAAAGCAACTATTTGGATCCTATATTATAATCAGTTCAGAGGGCAAAAATGTGTCATCATCAACAAAGTCATTATTAACTCAAATCAGCACCATCAAGCCAGAACAAACAGTATACAAGAGACTATTATGCCTTTAACTCCTGCACGAATATTTCTTAGCCACCAAACTTAACCACATCTGTATCTGATTTCAACTCCAGCCCGATCAGTCCCAAAAAAAAAAAACACTGTGATGAAAAAGCCAGCACCACCAAACAAAGAAAAAGAAAGCCGTGCATCAAAACAAAACCGTCGTTAACCAGATTAATACTTTCCGCGATGGTGTCATTCCTTTTCAACTCTGTTATGTTAGAAGTTTGGTAATTTTAGTATTCTAGGAATGCAGGAGCACCAAATTTCTAGCTATGCTAAATTTAACCTGTTGAAAACTGGAATAACGCACTGGTTTAAGTAGTTAGTAACTGTTTTACCTTAGGTTGTAACAAATCAGTATAAGTAATTGTGATCCTCTCATTCTTCTTAATTCCTTTTATGCTCCGGACTATGATGCTCGGACCACATCCCTCACTGCCTGCACATTATTCAACACAAATAACAATCAACCAGTTCATCATAACAACCAAAACAAAAAAATTTCAACTCAAGAAAATGCACAACGATTCAAAAACTCACTCACTCTTGCAATCACCAGCAAGTCCATCACCAGCTCCACCGTCCATGGCAGCAGGGTAAATTCTCAACCGCGGGAGCTGGGATTCTCCCTCCACCACTTGTTGAGGAGGTATGGTCTTCCTCGTTACAAACCGAAAACAAGCGTTGGGAGAACAACTATGATTAATCCACGAAAACCTCCAATCGTAAACCGTAATCCCCACATTTCTCCCGTCCTTATCCTGCACCTCCACCGCATTCGTCAGCACCAAGCACATCACCGCCTCCTCCACCCCAACCACTCCCTCCAATTTTCCCGCCAAGAGCTTCATCGCCCTCGCACCTTCCTTAATCATCTCCAATGCCTCATCTTCCTCCTCATTTTTAGACAAATTCAAGAATTTCTCATAGTTGGTCATTAACCCTCCAACCCTATCCAGTTTTGCTTCTACCGTATCGTTCTGAGAGTGGAATAGTTTATGGAGGAGGCGGAGGGAGAGGCGGAGGTGGGACGAGTCTTCGAGAGGAGGAGGGGGACACATGAAGGGAGGCGAGTCAAGGGCGGAGCAACGGGGGGAGCAGTAGTAGTGTAGGGGTGGTGAATTTAAGGGGGAAGTGGGAGTAAAATGCGCATTTGGTAGAGGAAACGAGCAGGCGGAGCAGTGGGAGTGGAGGAAAGAATCGTGGAGAGAGAAGGCCAGGGGTGAGAGTGGAGGTGTGAGGTCTTCTCCTATGCCTATGTCTTCCCCTGCTCTCATCTCCATTCTTCCTTCTGTTTCTTGAAAGATAGCAACTGTTCCCAGCGGCAGCAGTCATATATACTCAAAACAGCACTTAATAATTGGGATTTGTTTGGGGATTTTCAACGAGGCTTCTTTTGATCTATGAGCTATTGGGGACTGTGGAATTTGTTCACCAGCCTGGGCTGTCAAGTTGAGCACAGCAGAAACTTGTTTGACTGTTTAATCTTGTATAGTATGTAATTCCATTTTGATTGATGGTTACACAGAAATGAGGTTTTCAAGCAGTTATTGGCAGCTGCTTAAAGAAGCAAAATCTCTCCTGAGCTACTGAAAGGAGGAAACTTTAAACCCGCAGAGGTGATTGACAACCAGTACAAAGTATGGACAACCATAAAGGCTTCCAATCTCAGTAAAAAAGACAGTACTTGGATAAAACGGGCTTCTTAAATTACAGTCCAAGGTGTTAAGAATCATGGCGAAAACTTTTTGAGATTCTAGATCAATTTCATCAGTACATATGCATTACAATCTCAATTAATCTGTCTATCTGCAGCAGCGAACAAGTTTAAATTACGAGTACTGATGAATACACCCCAGGGCAAACGATGATTCCCATTTGCTTCTTGAGGAATATCACCAGATACAAAATGGAAGTCCTCGTTCAAATGAATAAAGCTCTATAAACATCCAGCATCTCAGGTACCCACATCACCCTACCGTTTGATCTGGCATAAGGGAAGAAGAATGGAAAAGCCAAAAAAAAAAAAAGGAGCAAGAGTTCAGGAAAGCCTTGTGCAACTGTCAGGACTCAGTTAGCGCAGGGATATAAACAAAGAAAGATCACCATCATGGCTACTGCTTGACTTTCAGTGAGGACTCGATCTGCTGTATTAGTTGGTCTGCTGTAAGTGCACCCTCCTGGAAATTTAGAAAGAGATTGTTCATACACAAAAATAGTTCTGAGTTAGTGCTCTTTAAATTCTTCACCACATGAAATCTTAAATATCTAAAACATAACTTTATATGCAAACACTGATTCTGAGATCCATCACATCCAACGAACTTTGTAACTTACCGTACTCTTACCAATTCTACCAAAAACAGAAACATTCTTTCACTCCATTAGAGTAAGCAAAGGGGAAGGGGAACCTAGGAACTTAACCTCTTAGCCCTTGGCGGGGATCTTAGTTCCTTAGGCAGTGCATCAGCTTAAGAAGTCACTGACGTTCGAGAGATGTGGTCTACTACTATTATTTGTTAGTAGAAAGCCAATATTTAGACTAAAACCCATTTATAACTCCGTGTCAGGATGCACCTTTTCTCATTAAGAAACAGCACAGAAGTAAGAAACACTACAGAAAAGATGCAGTCAACTTACAAAACGATCATGGGGTTCTCCATCCTTGAATATGATAAAAGTAGGGAGTGCCTGAATTCTATACTTATCTGCGATGCTCGGATACTTCTCAGTATCAATCTTCACCACCTGGATCTTATCTTTCATTCTTGTACTAACCTCATTCAGAACAGGAACCATGAATTGGCATGGACCACACCTGCAAATCCACATCTCGGCTTAATTCCTACTATAGCTTTGCGCAAATGAAATTGTTTTGATGGGTAGCTTGTCATTGTATCGGTAGACTCAAGAAATTTATGCATCAAGCAGATTTAGTTACTACTATCACAGTAAAAGGTAAAAAAATCCCCTTGGTTTATAGATGCTTCCAAGAATATTCCCATTTTTGAAGTAATGACCCGTTAGAGTGCCAATCACTAGATTGATAAAGTGATTAAATTGGTCAAATGCAACGCCAAATACCTCTCGATCTGCACGCAAGTCTCAGCATTAGATGCTTTGATGTCACATAGGAACTGATCTCCAGTTAAAATTTTGCGAATCACAAAAAGGTACATAAAAGAATGGAAGGGTAACACACCAAAAGAACTTACCAGGTTGCATAGAAATCAACCAACACTGGTTTGTCAGCGGTTTTCAGTAAATCGTCAAAGGATGAAAATGTTTGCTTCTTTGCCTTCACCTAATTACGAATATATTCAGCTACCACCAATAGAAACCAAAATATTCTGTCTTGAAGACTGACAAAACATAAGATGATAACATGAAAAGGGGAAGGACTCCTCCTGCAGTCAAGCAGAAGCACACTCGAACAGCAGAAAACATAAAGGAGGTAAGCTTTTACAACTGTGCCGTGAATATTACTACTGAATGAAGAACTGACACCAGCATCAAAGCAAGTTACAAGGAAATCATCAAAGAGAGGTTCTGTACAAGCATGATAACAGGTAAAGCAACTTATTATGAGGCCAATAGCTGAAAACTCAATTTGCTTTCAAAGGCTTCTCCAAAAAAATGCCTTCAATAGAAAGGTCAATTTTCTTTCTTTTACTTATGAGATGCTCCAAAATCAACAATCATAACATGAAGTAAGCAGTTCCAGAAGTCTCAACATGAAATGCTCTAAGCACTCAACATCTCTGCCTCCTCCTCTCCCCACCCCCCCCCCCCCCCAAAAAAAAGGGCTTGTTCTCTCTATACCCCCCGCCCTCTCTGTCCAATCTATTTTGATGGTTCTTTATCTTATTGTATTTATTAACCTAATTAAAACCACAACCCACATCTGTTGTCACTTAAATCAGGCAAAGTAAAGGTATCATCAATAAGCTAGATTCATCCCGGACAATGCCAATAATTAGTTATTTCATCATGCAGTAAGCATATTGGAAAAATAATGCTTACTGTGAGCATGCCTCAAGGCATGGCTATCAATACAAAAGTTTGTGGCAAGCCCTAAGTGAAATATGAGCCTAAAGTCCCAAATCTTTGTGAATAAGGAAAACCCAAGCAAAAAGAGACAAGCTTTTAAGCACCGAGGCATTCTCCAAGAGTCCAAATCTCAGCTTTTCGCCTGGCTTTAGAGATTGCTACAAGACCAGATTTTCATACTATGGTCATTCATTCGTATCTTGTTTGTCTCTTCACACTTTTGTTTTCCAAGCTTTCCCATTAGAAAAATGTGTCAGCCACTTGAAAATCTGACCCTAAATAAATAAATGAATTTGAGCCTCCTTATTCTCCCATGTGGATTTGCCAAAATGCCCAGCAACTGATTCATTAGCAGTATACCACAGTAGCCTTTTCACTTGGTTTCTCCACGACTAGCTTATTCCATAGGCTACAATTGCTTCCTCTGCAGGTACAATCCATCTGCATGAAGTTGATTCTTTTTGGTCTCTAAAATACATATTATGATGATTTCACCACTCATCTTCCGGGAAGTTCACTACAACTCATACACCTCCACTTGCTGCAACTTGTTTGCAAGTTTAATTGCCCCTAATGTGAATGCAGTAAGCACTGCTATATGTGAGAATAACTCTGATCACCTAAGCTAAAAATCTTAAATACTCTTATTCTGTAGCAGTTCATATAAATTCCCTTCTGGAACTAAACCGATCAACTCATCTCGATCCACCAATCAGTCCACTTAACCACCAAATGAGGCCAGTTATCAAGATTAAACATAACACATACTGTTTCACAACTACAACATCATCTAATCTCTCTCCCCATGAATTTCGTTATTTGTAGCTACTCATTCAATTTTGTACTTTACTTCCACAACAGCTATATCTTTATTCCCATACATCAAAGACAATCCCATCCTTTCTATATAGCAGCATTAACACAATCTGTGGGTATAGCTGCATTCTGACTAACAGAATCGTCCCAATAGTCAAACTGTTTTGCACTCTCTCGAATACATACAAACATAAAACATAAACCCAAACTAAATCGCGACGATAATAAAATTTTAATAAATTCTCAAACTTTACAACAAATTCCAACAGAAAAATAATTCAGAAGACAGAAATACATAGATAATTACATAAGATAACGAAACGAGAAAATCCCCAATCAAAACTCCAGATTTGCCAACCAATTCCAAAGTGTGAAGTTACGGTTTCCATGGAGATTCAGCAGGTAATTCATCACTAAAGCTACCTAAACATCCTAAAATTTAAGTCTTGAATAGAATTACGATAAATAGCACCAATCTTGATGAAGCAGAAATCCGTAGCAAAACCAGAAAACTAGCACCAAATGTGCAAAAAACAAAAATTCAAATAACAAGAACAGTAAACCCAGAAAAGAAGAACATTCCAAAAGTAAAGCATTCATTTCTTCGCATTCATTTCTTCGAATGCCAATAGGGTTGGGAAAGTTATACCACATGTAAAGTTCGAGAGGGCTGCCTGGACTGAACAGCTCGGTTTCCAGCATGAAAACGGCGTAGTTCTCTAGGGAATTGCAGAGATGACAAGCTAGAAAGCTTTGCTGCTGAATTTGAAGACGCAGCAAATGGAGGGTCTGGATTCAAAGAGCAAACCTTTGCTGCTGATGATAAAGAAATAGCCATTTTTTCAGGACCAAGTAGATAAACAGTTAAAACTGTGCCCAGAACTTTGGAAATCCAAGATGAATGAATGAAAGCTTATTTTAGCTGCAGTAACAAAAAAACAGAAAAGTTGGTGTTGAAATATGCACATTTGGGATGTTTGGTTGGTGGGATTGATGGGTTTTGAGCCGTTGATATGGTGGAAATATCAGGGCACATATCTCCTATTCCGGGACTCGCGAAGGAAATATCCTGACCAACGCCTTCATGCTATGGCTCATGAAAGCGCCATAAACTCGATTGAATCAATTCCTTCTAAGCCTCTATTTAAGCTTATGGCGTGTTTAATAAAAATAAAATATGAAATATAAAGCCTGAATTCATTAAGTTTTTGAATTGTTAACTATTAAATTTAATACATTTGAGTGTATATCATATTCAGTGATAAGTGAATAGTTTATCACTTAATTTTAGGAGCAAATTTTATTTAAAAAATTGAGTGTCACTTAATTAATTCAAAGTTCAATTTTTGATTATCAAACGCGTCTAAACATATTAAGATTAGAATCCATTAAATTCAAGTGCTGAATGAATTTGCTAAACAAGACCTTAAACTTTGCTATACGCTGTCACGAGTTCTTTAGTGTGATTGACCAAATTTGATAAAAATTGTACAAGACTCCAAAGGTGCACAAACAAGACTCCAAAGGTGCACAGGATTATGCCTCATGAATCATGTGTGAAAATTATCTATCCAATTTAGTTACGCCAAAAAAAGAAAAAATATATATATAAAATGACTGACTCTTTGTTATGACAATCTGAAAAAATGTGGTATTATGGAAATTTTTACACATTCTTACAACTTCATATTTAAAATAAAGCCCACAATCGAAATATGACATTTCACTGACAAGCATTGAGTTTCTCCCTCCAAATGGAATTTAATAACATCCAATAAAACATTAAAACTCTACATTGGGTCTCAGATAGTTTCATGATGTCGCGTCAGGATAGTGATAACATCAACTTAACCAAGCTCCCCATACAATTCGAGGCCATCTATGATTCATTTACACTTAAAAATCATCCAAACTACCATCCACCCACTGAAGATTAGAGTCTTTGATATATAATCTTCAGGAAACAGAACTCGTGCTTGGGAATGATCCACAAACAAGCAACCTGTCTTGAATTTGACAGCTTTTTGCTTCATAACCAACCGAGGAATGACATGACATGTTATTGGATGCATTTGCTCAAACGGTATCCCTGAAAGATGGTGAAATGATTGCTAGTGCCTCCTTTCTTTCTGCCTTAACACAGATTTGTAATGCACTTCAATTGATACGAGGACAAAACATCAAGAGATGTCTTCAGCAAATATGATATCAAATATCCCTTGTACTGCAGCACGAAAGGCCAGAATTCAGTTTTTGATGTACAGTATTTGACATTGTAAAGGACAGATATTAAAAATTCTGAAACGTTCTAAAAAAGTTGAGTTCTACAATATTGTGATGCGTATGGAGGATTTAGCAAGGGCTTTTCACAAGCAGATAGTAGCATGGCAATTAATTCTGTTCATCAAACTCTTAACTACCTACCCTCCTCTCTAGGGATGTTAGGTTGGTCAACGAGCAGTTGCTGAAGGGCGTTTAGATTGTCACTAGCACTGCAATTAGAATTCAGCCGTGGCATAGTCACAATTAGAATACTAAGATGTTTCAATTAGATGGCATCAGAGGTAATTACAGTAAACAACTAATTCACCAAAAGGAAAGAGAGGCAAAGGCGGAAAAGGAGAAGAAAAAGACAAATATACCACACCAAAAGAACAGCAAAAAATGTTACGCACAGCCATCCTGTGCAATGAACAAAGAAATAAGAGCTGCACTATTTAATAAAACTGGACACTCTCAACTTCTAATCTAATTTGGAGCATTAAACTTTAGTATTTTTAAGGGTGGAGCTGTTAAACTTTTCTGCTTCACCCTTCTACTTACTGTCAAAACATCAATTTGAGAAGATTTGTAGTGTATCATGGTAACCAAAATCAAACACTAACTAAATCATAGGATCAAGTCCAAATATTTATATAATGAATGTACTCTTCTCATGCATCATAATTGTGAAAGATGATTCCAGGCTGCCATCATATATTACCTTCAAAGTTAATAAAAAGCCTTAAACCAACATAAACTGCAAAATTTTCCCTTTTTTTTTTTTTGAAAAGACCTTGAACATGACTTATTTCTAATAATTGACATATCTGAAAGCCCTAAATATGCTAAATATTCTAGGCCAACTTCTCCAGCCTTAGCCTCCAATTATAATCTGACAGACTTTTCAAAAACAAGTCATGCCTATTTCTCAAGTTTAGATAATTTGCACAAGATACAATACACATTAACTTGGGTGATTGCCTATGCAAAAGAATTAATCACACAGAGGTGGCTGGGGTGGGGGAAGCACCCACATCTATCAAGAGATACCTTGGCGTCAAGGAAACCTTTGCAAGTGCCGATATCACAGATGACTTAAGAAGGTACCTGAAATAAAATGTTCAACTGGTTACTAGGAAATGGAGTGTGAAAAATGAAGGGAGAAAAGGACAACATGGATTCCAGGAAGCTGGTCACTAATATCCTGCACATCTTAAAGGTAACTCCGAGAAATTGCAATGCGAATGTTTTCAAAAGTCAAGGAAAATATTAGTGTAAACAAGATCAGATAATCCCAGGAAAGTGCAAACAAAATGATTCAGAGTGAAGAAGAAACGGCAGTGATTTATTTTCGTATTATGTGAAGTTTAACACTCATTTGAAACTATCATGGGTGACCTTATTTTGAATCTTAGATAGTAAAGAAGACCGAATGAAAAACCTGGGACCATAAAAAATAAATTAGCAACAAAATCATATCAAATGATCAGATTAACCCAACTTTTGACATCTCTCGGATTGCATTTCTGAGAAAACTTTAAATAAAGAAACAAATAACAAGTTCTGTTTCCAGAGCCCAATCTTGATGAGTTAACATCAACATACAGGAAAGTTAGCTATGAGAATTATGTAAAGTTCCTCTAACGCATACTCTGAATGGTGCATCTCGCTAAGAAGCCTAAGGCCCTCCAGGCAATCTGCAAGACTTGGTTTGATACCAACTCTTTGCTGCAGTTGCTTTGCTGTTGCAACAGTAGAACCTCCTTTAACTAGCTGCCTACCATCACGAACAACTTTCTCAAGGGATGAAGAAACACCACGAAAATCTTCCCTACATCAATGGCGGATGGATTAAGCAAAAAGATAAAATAAGAAGAACAGAAAGTCAGCTTCCTATATGGGAGTGTTGTGACATGCAAATCAAGACTAATACAGGGGACAATTGAAGGAGGGAAAAAAAAAAAACAAAAACACACACACACACATACATAGGATAACCAATTGCTGAAACACGAGTTCTTGAGGTCGACAGCACCCATGAAATGAAATTTAAGGGAACAAAGAAATCTGGAGGCCAATCAAATGGCCTTTTAACGTTTGGTTAGTAGAAGTCTCGACATACAGTTGAACACAATCTTTAAGAAACAAGATAAAATATCTATTCCTAACTTGGCTGAATCAGAAATAAACATAAACACTGGAAGAGACCCCTTGCCAAAATTTGTTATCCGACTTTTGTTACAAAATGAATTGAGGTCAATAAAAGGAGCTTTTAAGGAGAAAGAAAATGTAAAACAAGAAACCATACAAGGTCTTATTCATGGAGAGCATAATAGTTTGCAGTGACTCCAATTGCTTCGCCAAGACAGCATCTTGAATGCCCTGAACACATTCTAATGCGCCATAGTTTTTTGGATCTTGAAGTAACTAAATGAGAAAGCTAACCCAACATCAATATCATCAGGAATCAAACAATAAGAAGAAAGACACACATGCAAACATGGCTAGACAGGATGCTGCGGGAAAACCTGCAATCTCTGGATGATGGCAGAAGCACTGGTGAACTGTGAAATTAACCGAGATTGAAGCTCTTCCCATCGACCCATCTCTTCTTTCACCTTCCTAAACTTCTGCTGATACTTTTTCACCATTGAATCCATCTACCTCAATCCACACCTCTGCCAATCCTACATCAAACATGTGGTAGCAGAATTATGTGCCATGATGAATTTTATCACTATCTAGCGAATCATATCATCGCAATCAAACTGACATTAATCTATAAGCAAATGCTTCGTCTCCCGGGATGGTACTACAACATATATGTATTGACCCTTCAGCAGCATCTGTATGCAGTTGATACACATTCAGGCATTCAATCAAACATGTGTGCAACCATTTGTGTGACAGAAAATTAATCAACAAAAGCAAAAAAAAAAAAGGCTAAAATTTTGAAATAAATTACTGGTTTTTTTCCTTCTCCTTTAAGCAAAGCTTATGAAGAACAGTGAAGCTGATTGTTCTCCCAATGCTACGCCGCTTCGTCAAAGAGGAAAGAACGGCTAGTGCTAGTATTTAGGTAATGGGGCATCAGACACAGAGAGTCTAGTATATGGTGGAGGAGAAGAGAGTCCAGTATAGTGGAAATTAGGAGATTTCAGTAGGTCGAGAAAATTTGCCATTTTTATTGTGGTGAATATTTTAGAGTTACTTCAGTTAATAGAGTGTTTGATGTTTTTATTGGCTAAATGGTAAAAGAAGTTTTACCTATAACCAATAAATATGATTATGTTGAGACCATCAAAAAAATAATAATAAGGATTTAAATATCAGTCCAAATCACTAGGGACATTTGAAAGTCAGTCAAGAGTATAAATCTAGTTAGAAACAGGGCAGTTTGGATTGCATTTTCCATAATTTTTCATGGAAAAATTACTGTAGCGATTTGATGTATGTGAGGGAAAAAGGTAATAGAGAAATGTGATCACGGAAAACGACGTAATTTTCCGACGAAAAATCGCAATCCAAACAAGGCCTTAAATTTTCTTTTCTTTTTCCATAGTTCCATTTACTAATCAAATTCCTCAATTTTTATTGCACTTTTTCTTTAGATTTTATTCCTTTAGTTCTAGAGTGCTAGACTCAAGCTCGATTTCAAAAACTGTAAACTCGACGAATTCAAACTCTAACATACCTATTTGGGATCGAGTTCAATTTGAACTAGAATATG